CGTGGCTCTGGAATACACTTCATTGCTAACCCTTTGTAGTAGTAATTGTAATAGTTCTTACTCCAGCTTGCCAAAAGCTGAGTTTTAATTAAATATTAAAAAGCTATTTGTTAAAATAACGTTTCCATAGCAACTAGAGAAAGCTAAAATACCCTGGCGCTTCTGACTCACAGCATATTAATCAACCACCAGCTATTATATAATGAGCACCTCCCTGCAAGCACCAGCAGGAGCCACCGAATGCCTGAATCCAGAGCCGGACTCTGCTCTCTGTGTGCCTCCTGCCTGCTCCCAGCACAGGCAGGCCTGGGGAGTTACTTCAGCTCAGCCCAGGAATCACATGCCCAAATATTTTGGGGAAAGCCATGCTGGAGTCGCCAGGGTCAGTGGGTCCCTGTGGGGGCACAAAGGGGGGTGGCACTGGGCAAGGAGAAGCTGTGGCAAGGGCTATGTGGACGGCAGCTCCCCATGTGCCTGCAGTGGTGAGGAGCTGAGGTGGCTCCTTCCCACCAAGCCCCAACCACCTACCTCTAGTGCTTGTCTTGGAAATGCAGTGCTTATACCACATCTATTTCTGTAATTTATTTAAATTTTTTTTATATTATTTTTTGTAGCAAGCACCTTCCTACTATTAGGCCAACTGTGCAAAACTGAAGGAGTGATTAAATCTTGCAGGGACAAACAAGCTCTGCTGCTCAACCAGAAAAGCTTATTTTACAGATTAAAGAAACAAAACAAAACAAAGAATGACAAACAACTACCCCCTCTCATCTAATGCCCCCAAAAGATGAAAAATCCCTTCTATGCTCTATCCATGCACCACAACAACAACGGCAGGCTTGGCCATCCAGCAGTTAAACTGCCTGACATATGGCTGCTGCTGGCCCTCACTGCCAGCCTCTGGGAAGCTTTGCCCTGGGGACACAGCTCATGTTAGAGGCAGTGGAATGTCTCCCATTGCCTTGTCCATGAGGAGCATCATCCTATGGTCTGAAGTGATGGGAACAACTACTGAAGGGAGTTAAGCAGTTGAGGCAAGAGCAGTATTACCTCAGGGGAAGAGTACTGGGAGGGAGAAGTGCAGCTACATTGGTCAGATGGAGTTGCAAACCACCTTCCACCTCCTCAGTGACTCAACTTTTTGCTTTTAAACCCCCTTCCTCCTTTTTCCCCAATAGAAAATAAATACCTAACCACACAGTTATTAACCAAAAGGAATGTGATGAATATTACAGCATCTGTATGCCAGCTTTGGTTTCCTGCTGCTTTGTTTGGGTGTCACACACTGTGGCTATGACAACCACAAGCAGTTATTGGACTGAGGTAATTTGTGACATCATACTTAATGGAAAAGGAGACAGTATCAAGAAGTATGGAGCAAGATCCCAAAGGACCACCACACTGGGGCTGCTGGAGAGCCAGGCAGAAGCAATCCCATCCTTACCAAAGCCCAGGCAGCCCTCAACTCTTAGGAAAATCTGCCCTGGGCTGTAATATGAACTGCAGATTTGCAGCTACATGAATGAAATCCTCTCACCCCTTTTCATCTTGGAACTGTAATGGAGGCTTTTGGCTAAGCCTCATCTTTCCTGACTAAATTTCTCCTGCTCTCCAACCAACTTCTCCTCCACAGCTTTATCCTTCAGTTATAATAGTATTTTCCCCCTTCTTAAAAATAAAACAGTCTGTCCAAAATTTCCAGAGTCACCTGATCGAGCATTGGGAGAATGAGCGTTGATTTTGTGAGGAGTGCACTGTTTAGAGAGGTGGCTTTGCTGGTGACAAGTACAAGTGACAGTTTCAGGGCTGCCACAGATACAGCCCAATCTCTTGCCCCATGTAAGAGCAAGGAGACGGCACCACTGCTGCATTTGGCAAAGCAGTTTCTGTATGTAGTTCTGGCATCCCTAAGACACACTGTTGTGATTTTCTCTGCAGAAAATGTTTGCAAATTCACTGCTCAAACTCTAAGAAACAAAAATAACCCCAAACACATCTAAATCTCATCTGATAAGAGAACAATTTACTGCAACAAGTATGTATTTTTTAAGTTATACATCCAGAAGCCTTGACATAAGCGAGTTAATTTTTCCAAGCTACTTTTGCCCAAAGGACAGCTTCTCTGTCCTTCCTGCTCCACTACCAGACCTGCTGTGTCTTTGCAGTCCAACACTGCAGCCTGCCCTGGGCACCCTGTGATCACCAACCTGTCCTGACACAGGGCATCCTGGGGTGGGAGAGCAGCCACACAATCGTGTGCCAGCTAAGTATGCTTGTCCCCAAGCACATACAACCTGAAGGAACCCCTCCCCTGCATCCTCCCAGGGCTTGGTTCCCTTCCAAGAGATGGCTCTGCCTTGCAGAGAACAAAATTCCATCAGGTGAATTTTATAAAGTGAGTATTCCTTTTAAATAGCAGGACAGGGATGCTGCCTTACAAAGGGATGGTGAATTAGAGCCTAACAGGCGAAGCAATCACCACTCACAGCTTGCTCATAAATGTCCAGGCCCACTGGAAGTGGCAGGAGCTTCCCAAACCATCACTTTCCCTGACAGCTCATATAACACTGTGTGTCAGCTCTTGGTCTAGGCCCTTCTGCAAGGATGTCAGTCAGAGCCACCCCAGCCACTGCTGACACCCACACTGTCACCCCTCACAGGGGACAGGCACCTCTGGAGCAGCCACTGGCAAGCTTCATCTTCAGCTGCTGGTGGTCAAATGGAGAAAGGGAAATGACAAGAAACTTCACTCCATCAGCTCTCTCCTAGAGCAACTGAAACATTTTGCAGGGCAATACAAGAGGACAGAGAGAGCAGACATAAAGGAGCCAAATTCTTCTAGCTCTGGGTTTTCCTGATCTTCTAAGCAGGAGGTAAGCTTCTCAGTCAGCATGGTCCCACTGCAGCCATCTCATGCTCCCCAGTTCCTGTCATGCAGCCAGAGCATAAGAACACAGGTAAATGGGAACTTCCAGTCTCCTTTCATTGCTGAGCTGACTGTATCTTGCTGCAGTAATTTCAGAGCCACTTAAGACCATACACCAGTTGCCTGGGGAGCTTCCAAGGCAGCTACTCTTGGCTTTATCTCTCACCCTCTTAACACAGCTGCAATACATCAGAGGCACCTGTGGACTACATGCCTGTATCAGCAGTGCTGTTTTACTTTGATTTAATGACATAGACATCTACCTGGGACCAGCAAGTCCTCCTCTGAAGAGAAGGAGCATGTGACCAAGTTCAACCCCTCTGTGGAACCAATCACCACAGCGATGCATTAGGATGTAGATTCATTAGGTTCTGAGAAAATGATTCCCAGATTTCAACACTGCCTACCTAACAGAAAAACAATCAAGTTTTGATTTTGAGATGAGCAAAGAGCTTTTCTAGGATGTGGATATACTTTGAGAGACACAATATATACAAGTGGTATACTTCTGCTGAATTTTGTTCACTTAAACTGGTATCTATTCATCACTCTGAAGCCAACACAGTTGTTAAAAGCAGAGGCCAGAGCCCACCCTGTGCAATGCTTTGTAAGTGACTCACAAAAAGTAAGCCCCACAGCAGGGTGGGTGTGACGATTAGCAGGTCTTGTGTGACAGTCTAAACACCAAGGAGATAGAAGAAACCATTTGTGATTCAAAGGAAGAATATGAACCATGGACCTTACTGAGGGAGATCAACACCTTTTTTCTCCAGTAACTGCACTCATTGCCAGCAGCCTTCCCAAAAGGCTGAAAGGAGGATTCAATTTTTCTGCTTAGCAGTTTCTGAATGCTTGATAGGTGGTTATTAGGGAATTTTCACCATACCTTTACCAAACATGGATGAACTCAGTTTTTCTCCTTTAACAAAACTAGCCCTCTTTTTTTCAGGCTGATTTCAATTTGGGATTTAATTCTACTCTATCCCAAATAGATTTTGGTTGTTGTAACAGAAAACAGGCTTAAGCCACTGAAATGAAAATAGAAACAAAACTCTGCTGATGTCCAAGTAACCACAGATTGCCATCACCACAGAACAGGGAAAAAACAGGACAGAAGTTGACCTGATTATAAAATCCTCAAAAAACACCCTTATTCAAGCCCTCTGCTAATAAAATTTACTTACAGAAAGCAATGAAGCCCAGAGCAACAGCATCCAAATTTGAGCCATTATCCAGCCTCACAGCAGAGCAACTCAGGAGCCCACACTGTGGCAGCTACACAGCCAAAGGCTTGAATCAGGACTTCCTGAGGTTCCTTAGCACAGCACTGGCTGGACCACCTGGAGAGCTGCAGACTAGCCATAGCTGCTGGGAAATCCCAGCCCATACCCTTTAGCAATGCATAGGAAAAGGCTGTAGGGCAGCTGCTCTTCAAATATATACTTTCAGGGTTTTTTTTGTTTTTTTTTTTTTTTTTAATATATATATATAAAGAAGCTCCTGGCTAAGCTGCTTTGAAGCAAATGTTCAGGTGTCTCCTGTGATATAAAACTTCCTTTAAAGTGACTTTATCACATCAGTGAAGACCCAAATATTGGATAGTTTCCTATTCTGATGACAAGAATGGGGTGCTGTCCATACATACAAAAACAATCTCACAGCCAAGCTGTGCGTTTTTCCCTTGCAAAAAGATGCAAGCTCACTTCCCAAGGAATGCCTCAACTCTTCAGCAAGATTCTGTCTTTCCATAGCTGGTAAAGCCTGGAAACAACAAACAAGCTTCAGATGGTGCTAATGGTCCATTCTGCTGACCGTATTCTCAGTTAAATGCATTCATGTGGTTTATATCTGTAGTGAGATAATTATTTGGCCTGTGTGGTAATACAATGGTAACTTTATTTTGTGGGTTGCAAAGAGGTGCCAAAGGCACTCAACTGGTTCCAAAACACTGGATTTGCTTGCTGTAAACATTTCTTGAAATGTCTTTAAAAAAAATAAATTACAAGATTCTCCTTCTGTTTGGGCAAGCTAGGATTTCTCATGTAAAGGAAAATGGAAAGAAAAAGCTACTCACAACACCTGATTTCTTACATCCTGGGAATTTCTCAGAAGGTGAGCAGTACTTCTGATCCCTACAAAAGTAGAAAAAAACATGTAAGTCAGGGAGAAAAATAAAATAGAAGAAAATAGCAGCCACCCGTTCCCCTTTATGACTGGTAATTTAGTTTTTTTTCACCAGCACCAGGAATGCCAGCAGGAATTCCAGCAATTCCCTTTTCCACTGACCACTACTGACAAGCAATTTGAAAGATTTGGTCCTATAGCCCTTTTACAGTAACATGATGAATCTTGGGAGCCTCTCGGGGGGGCGGGGGGGAAGAAATACACATTTCTTAGGCCAGGCAGACAGTGAAGAGCACTCACACTGATGTCCTAAGATACCACCACCATGGTTTGCACTAGAAATACCCACAAAACATCTGCTGCAGCTGTCGTGTTCCAGAATGAACTCTTTATCTATTGGGAACTTCTACAAAATACCATTAAAATTGTCCTTTGCCTCCTTAAAAGGTCTCACCTGCTTTCCTCTTCCCCCCCCACCAGAAAAACAGGAGAGGAAGGTTTAGCTTCAACAGCTGCAAGAGCAGAACTGAACAGAAAAATATTCCTCTTTGGCACTGGCTGTATACACATCTAAAAAACACTGTGCCTGCAGAAAGGCTAAAGAGATAATAAACAGCCAAGGGACTGCTCTGAGTAAAAGAAATACAAACAGAAAACCACCCCAGAAGCCCCCCAGGAAAAGAGGCAGAAGCTTATTGATTGCTTCAGCAGGACTGCGAGCACAACCTGCACTTCCAGCTCAAGCTGAAGTATTTGGGTTTGAAACTCCAGACTCCTCTTATCTGGCCTGAGGAAGGTCAGCTGACAAACCCAAAAGAAATCACTTGGAGTCTTTTGCTGCTTCCCAGCAGGTTAGGTTGATATTTTTTGGGATCTTTTCAAAGGAATATATGACTTGATTTCCTGAAAGAGCACACTGGCTACTGGAGGAGCTGGGAAGCCAGAAGCTATTACACAACCATAACCATATTTTAAGAGCTTAGGCTAGAAAAAGCTGCATGTTTATTCACAGATAAAAGGGAAACTGCTTCCCGCTTTGCTCCATCTAAGAGTAAGGCAAAAAAATGCTAGTTTCACTGAATTGTAAAAGAGAAATAAAACACATGGGATAGCTGCAGATTTTGTGCTATTTATACCTCCAGCACTTTGGGACCCAGCAGGCCACCTTCTGCTGCACTTCCTCCCTCTTTCGGGTCACATTCGCCATTCTCACATGGCAGGCTTAGGATGAAGCTGTTTCTGTATTTAATGGGTTTACTCCAGTTATATTTTACTAAAACTGCTATCTGAAATCCTGCTTTTTCAGTGCTGTGTCCAACACACAAAAGCATGTGTTTTGCCAGCAGAACTAAATCCAAACCTATGAATAAAACACTTCTAAAGAACAACAAAATCACCTACAATGCAACACAGCCCTGTCCTTCCACGATCTCAAACTTCTGCTTAGAATGTTAAGTAAAATAAATATATATGTGCATGGTGCTGTTGCTTCTTGGGACTGTATACTGACCATCACAATTTTTGGTACTTCTCCTAAAGACCCAGCTGGTGAAGCTTCTGCAAGGATCTTCTCCACTTTTGGAAACATAAAGCAGAAGGAAATCTTCAGGGTTATTACAGCCAATCCCTTGCTGTTGTAATTGTACTGCATGATCCTCTTCAGAAAGTATGCAAAAAGTTTCTACCCCTCGTGGCTATGAGAATATGATTTGGGTTTAATATAACAGCTCAGAAACAAGTTGGTAATATATGTGTATGTATATATATATATATACACACATACATATTTTAGATCTTTCAAACTATTTCACAGTTCTGGGAGATCTGCTACTGCTTTTGAATGCTTAGAGTTAGGCAACAGTGAATTGAAGGAGTCACAAACATGTTTCATATAGAAACATCAACTTTTTTCAACAGGTAGGTAATTACTATTGAAAACTCTTGCCTGAGTTTGTTTGTCTTGAGCATCCCTGCCATAGGCAGCTCTTGAACAGCCTCCCATGGGGACATGCTTATTCCAAGGCAGCACAAGGCAGGAGAAGCAGCTTTCCTTGCCGTGAAAACATCACTTCCCTGAAATGCATTGCAATGTTGGGATCGGGCAAATTCACAGCAGACCTCCCCTCTGCACAGGAGACATTCCTACAGCCATCAGCATTTCACCCACATGGGCTGTGCCACACCAACACCCACAGAGTAATGGACAGGAGCTGGGGAGATCTGTATCTGCTGGCTCCCATGTGGTGTCATGGTGAGTACACGTACAGAACACTTAATGGTGCTTTCTGAGTTACCACACTCCTCCTGGTTAACAGGAATTGCCTGTTTGTGTGTTTACGTGGCCCACAGCATGCAGTGAATAACTCCAGCTATCCCAGCCAATCTTCATTCTCTGCACACTGAGCAGGAGACTCAGCCACCAGCTGCTTCATCATTCTAGATTCTTTCCAAAAAAACATCTCATGGCAAAACAAAACAAAATAAACAAAAAGGCTTTTACGTACTTTATAAACACCAGCACTCCACATGGTTTCTGCAACCCAAACACCAAAGCACAAACCACCTGAAAATGGGATTGTTTTGCTTTATTCACCATGGAGTTTTTCACAAAAAAGAGAGATTTTCAAGATATCTTCAGAGAGCTAAAAGGTAAATCTCAAGCTGCTGTTAAAACAGGGAGGAAAAATAATGGTACTTTTTAGATGCTTGACAGAAAAGTTCCTTTGAGACTCTCTCAACCTACAGAAACTATCAATTTTTCAAAAGCATCTTTTATAGAGAGGAACTGCTTTGTAAGCCCTGAAAGCACTTGCTTTCCCAGGCTATGCTTGAGATGAAGGAAAATAAACCACACACTCCTCCCGACTTCCTAAAGGTGCCAGTTTGGTGGTTTAAATCCTGGGGTCAGCTGAAAGCATCCCCATGGATTAGGTCATGCCAGCTCCCACAGCACTGCTGATCCATCAAATGGCCTGACTGCCCCAATGCCCCAAATTGGTGGTACAGGCAACAGGTCAGGAGAAACTTCCTCCACCAAGCTAACGTGCCCAGGATGTTGCCTTCCTTTGCTGCTGGCTCAGCAAGGCAGAAATACAGCAAGCCCAGGATGCAGCAGGGTGGGGTGCTGGCAGCCACCCACCATGTCCCTGCTCCTCACTCCCTGGTGTTTGTATCATACTAGGCATTTATTAACTTTTCAGTGTAGCTTACACCTATATTTCCCTAAAAAACACCATGATCAAAATTACCACCTTAGCGATCTGAATTACTTCTAACAGCAGACTAGAAATGCCTTCTATCAAATTAAATGTGCACAGCTGTGTTGGAAATGGGGGGTTTGCAGCCTCTCAACTGCAGACTGTTATTATAGCATGATTAGCAGATACAAATGTTCTTGAAAGTCGTCTGTCTCCACACACTGAAAATCACAGTTATCCCAACAGATCCCAAGAGCCCAAACAGCTCCTGGCTGCTGGTCCAGTCCTCGTTAAACATTCACCAAGCCTAGCAGACCACAGCACCATGGACTAACATGCTCATGAGCATCCTTGCCTTCAACACCTTTCTGTAAAGCTATTAAAAATAACCCATCCCTCCCCCCATTCCTACAACAGACAGAATACAACTGAAAGTTTACATCAAAACCCTAAACATGCAGTGAAAAAGCCACTAAAAACCCCTAAAGAGCTCTGAGGTCTCTAAGTGCACACACACTGTGTGGACAGTAATGCTTGGACAGACCACGGAGTATCTCCCACAGCACTCCATCCCCAGAGGTCTTATCCCTGTCCTGCTCAGCATCAGCTGTCCTTCTCCAGCCTTTTGAACAAAGCTTAAAGAGAGGGGTATTTCCACCCCAGAGCAGCTGCTGCTGGCAGCTCCTGAGCTCCCCTGGAAAACCACTGGTGCTGACCTGGAAAACACGGAGGAGGCCCCTGCCAAGAGTCATCTTCTCCACCTCATTAGCGTGACAACCACTCGCACAAGATCCTTATCCACGCTGCACACTTTCCACGGATCTGTGAGCAGAAGCTGTCCCAGACAGTCAAGCCAAGGCTGCACTATGCTGCAGATCTCCAGACTTAGCTTCCTCCAGGAAAATTTCTATAAACTACAGGAATAGACCAAATCCCTCTTTGCAATGCTTTTGTCGTATTACCAGCTGCTTTTGAAAATATTAAGAAGCATAAAAATAAGAGAAAATAACAAAATAAAGAGTAAATAAGATCTAAAACCAAATCAGCTGCCAAAAAAATAAAAAAGGAAAAAAAATAGGAAAAATCTCATTGTTTTAGCACATTTACACTGTGTAGCACCGTCCCAGAAATGATTCCTCCTCTCTCAGAGGTTTAGAAGATTTCAGAAAGCATATTCTCTGCCAGGTTGAAACTGATATCCCTCTAGGGAGAAGCAGGAGCATGATACTCCAGGGAAGCGGATGAGCCAGGCAGGCTGGGCAGCCATTGAGGCCACCTTTGCCTGACTGCCACCCCCAGGGGACTGCTCCAACTCCTCGGGCACAGGCTGCTCAGGGCCAGCTTGTGTCCATCCATAGAAGCTGGTAAGAAATGGTGTGGCTGCTGGCAGCAGCTGCAGTTGGCCTTGGCTACAGGCTGAGACAGGGGCTGGCAAGGGTCCTGGCCTGGCTTCCCTGGCACTGGACAGACTGACAGACAGTGATCCTGCCACTGCTCACCTCAGTGCTTTCTTGAAAAATTTGCAAATGACAAACAACATTAACTCCAGAGCCCAAACTTCTCCCATGGGAAGATGACCACCCATTTCTTCACAGAGGTCCTACAGCCTTTCTGCACTTCACTTTCCAGCACTAAGTCTAGTTCATTGGGAACTAGAGCATTGAACCAGAATGAAAGAGAATGGGAAAGCATTGCTCAAAGCAGATTATATTTACTTTTCAACACATCCCCCAGTTGCAGATGTCAGCACAGAGAAAGGTACATTAGTTTCTTTCCTATCTCCTTAACTGTTCCTAACTTCCTTCAACAAA